TTGGAGCAGTATAAAAATGGAATCCACAACCTCAGAAGCATTCAACGAGCTTCGTTAGCTTCCAAACTAAAGCAATTGCTTCGCAATTTCCAGTTTGATATATTCCCAACAAAAAATGACTTGCATTCGCGTCCTCCTAGCTCTTTGCTGCGTCGGTTTTGTGGCCTCTCAATTCCAGGCATGGCCAAACCCTTCTTCAACTAAGAATGTTACTAGCACAATCACCGTCAAAAAATCGGCACCATATGATGGTGAAAACGTTCGTCACGTCGCTGATTTTGGTGACGGGGGCCAGGATGAGGATCAAGATCCAGTGTTTGAGCTTGAGGATGGTGCGACAATCAAAAATGTTGTACTTGGAGCGCCGGCAGCCGATGGAATACATTGTCTTGGATCGTGTACCATTGAAAATGTCTGGTGGGAAGACGTTGGAGAGGATGCTGCTACCTTCAAGGGTGGTGCCAGTGCTTCCTATAAGGTTACGGGCGGTGGAGCCAAAAAGGCCAGTGATAAGGTGTTCCAGCATAACGGTGGTGGCACACTAACCATTCAAAACTTCCAGGTGAGTAATTTTAATAACATAATTCTGCATAACATTATCAGTTCGTAATCGTAGAGAATAGCTGAGAGTTAATCCCACTGATATGATAAACACTGAAAATTATACTTTTTTGGGCATTAAACAATCCAATTTGATTTTCAGGTGGAAAATTTTGGAAAGCTCTACCGATCCTGTGGAAACTGCAAAAACAACAACAAAAATTTGCCCCGAAAAGTGATCATTGACACCATCAAAGCCACTGCTCCCGGAAAGAGCATTGCTGGAGTTAATTACAATTACGGAGATTCCGCGACTCTGAAGAATATCCAAATTTCGGGATCTGTTAAGGAAATCTGTGCCTATTATGAAGGCAATAACAATGGCGCTGAGCCTCCAGTCAAAGATCAATTCGGTCCCACCGAAGACGGAGATGGAAAATACTGCATTTTCAAGAATTCCGACATCAAGAGCTCTTAACAAGATCAACGCACTAAAATTATGGTTAAAGTGAACCATTCTTATGCAATTTATTCACTGTTCGGAAAAGCTAATAAACGATGCACTTTCTTTCAATATATGAAAAATTGCCATGTTTCACACGAAATAATATCCTAACCACCGAGGTCGAAATTCGGGAAAAAAGAAGAACACAGTCAAAATCTAATAAGTATAACCCAAAATAATACATTGGTACATAAATTTAACGTAAGCAGAAATTATTGACAATGAAGAATATTTTTGACTATAAATCCATATATCTGCTGCAGTCCAAACTTAAATTCAGTCCATTGATAGAATAGTTTCAAGGGGTAAAAAGCGATTACCAAAGTGATAAAATCCGAAATTGATAAAATCTTTTATTGGCTTAATTTCCAAATATTGAAGTCGAGATCTCGCGCAGGAATCCAAAAGGCAAAATTGCTTATAAATCCGTGCCAAGCAACTTTGCAATTGGGTTCCTGCGCGAGATGTGATTTTGAAATTCCGAGGTTTTATAGTCGGGATTGTACAAACACTGGAGCCAAACCAACTCGGGTATTCCAGTGGTTGGTTTCGGATTCAGTGAAATTCGGTATTTTTTTGCCCATTCGGTCTTCGGTAATTCGTCCGATTTTTAATGAATTCGCCCGACCGCCCCTATCAGGGCGCGGTGGGGCGAAAATTTGGGTAAAGTTTTGTATCCGCTAACGTTAATAATCAATTTGGAGAAGCCGACTATTTTTTGCTATCAATTTATCATTTGTATCCTCGCTTTAGGGACATTATATTCTGTTGATTGTGGATTCTGCCGATCGCGTTTTGGTCGAAATTTGGAGTCTCCGGAATCTTTTGGTACGATCTAAGAATAACTGTTCGAATACATTTTTGTTTACATTAAATTTCAGATGCCAAAGACAATCATCACAAATTTTGCACAGAGCGCGAATTCACCGATTCTTATGGATTGCTCTTTTCCAATTATTTTGGTTAATGTTAATCACTGCAAATTTTAGGCAAAACTTTTTCTCTACAAAGATTAATAAACATTATACCAAGATTTTAAACCACATTTCATATGATTTTTTCAATGACAAATTTTTTGAAAGGCAAATATTAACCCAATTATATACTGATCCAAAGCACTCGCTGGGATGAAAAAAATCTTGTAAAATAAGACCGGGTCCCAAAAAATTAGAAATTTATAATTACTTTAACTCAATGCCTTAAACTTTCAGGATCATAACTTTAAATGTTATGGCCGTCTAAAGCTTCGTCTTTTGTGAGACGAAACATCTTCTCTTGAGTTTAAATCTCATATGTTTCAAATTTTTTGGATTCCCATAGTTAGAGTCGAATACTTGGCTTTTCAGAAAAATTTTGGTAGAAACATCGTCATTTTGGTATGGAAAAGAAGTTTTGTTCAATTTTAACTGAAATAGTTGACATAATAATAGCACTATTTCAGTTGTGCCAGAAAAATATTATATGCATTTTCTCATGTGAATCCTGCAAGATGTTGCGAACAGTCAGGTAAAGGATTTGTGAAAACATTCGATTGTTTACAAATTCCTATTTTTACAGCATAAAAACACAAGTTAAATTCGCTACTCTGATCAATCGTTCAACCTTTTTCTTCACAACATCTTCATCGGAAATTTGGAGAGGAAGTATTGAGACAAATTTTGATTTCCTTTTCAAATCGTAAGCATAAATCTTGCGAAGAGGTTATTACTTTGGAGCATTGTCCAAAAATAGTGTCAAAAGTCCAAAAACGTTGAACTTTTCCGCAAATAAAAATTTTTGATCAATAACTAAAAACTAGCTGTTACGTCGGCGCTTCGCGCCGACTTCACAGCTAGGAAGCGGTTAGCGTGCATCCGCGGCGCTTCGCGCACCGCCATCAGCGGTCAGACTTGGGTTGTTCGGGGTAAATAAGTATGCCCTCAGTGGCTTTGTCAGGGGAACCTCGCGGCCTTCGACCGCTCGAACGGATTTTTTCCGATTTTTCAAAAAATTTCGAAAAAAAAATTTCAGAAAAAATTTATTTCCGTACCCCGGGGGTACCCCGATAACTTTTTACGGATTCCGTCTCAGCATCTCCGGGGGAGCATTTTGACATATCATGCTCCACAAAAGGAGCAGAACTGAGAAAGTTTCCTTTGTAGGGCAAAAAAGTGCCAAAAATGGCACATTTTTGGCCAAAAAAGCCGTTTTTTGGGATCACCGTTAAAAAATTTTTACGGATTCGTTCTTAGAATTCCGAGGGGAACATTTTGATATATCACACACCCCAAAAGGAGCGGAACTGAGATTTTATCAACAGACAGACAATCAGTCCTTACTATAAAAGATTTAATATTAACGAAATAGTACATTTTGCATATACCCGACCTTATGTGTCTCTTAATGAGTGTATTGCGTGTTTATCACGAAAGTTTCATAACAATTTCCAATAGATTCGACATTTTACCGCCCTTTGCAAAGCCTCCGATTTTGGGACTAGGCAAAATGAACGAAGGACGTACTTTGTTGGTTACCTGTGCCGACTCTGTCTTGACTTATTCCTTGGAAGGATATCGCCTCTGTAAAGTCTACAAAATGCGGACCTCACTGGTTTGTTTTTCTACGAAGTCTAATGTGCGAGAATTGCCTGTATCACTTTTCAGAGCTCAGCTATGCGCGCAGTTGAAGTGTTTGGTATGGAAGCGTACAGATTTGCAGTCTTTGATCTGTCCGGACAATCGCTAGCAATTTTCAGCATTATGGAACCACGGTAAAAAATTTGCCATCACGACATTGTCCATAAAAACTGTCACTCTATACGTCCCTCTCTATTATGGCCTCTCTACTATGACGCATTTCGGCCAAAAAGGATAACGTCATAATAAATAGACATCTTAAAAGTTGAACTCTCGAAACATCTTAAATAAAATAAAATTTCAATTTACAGCGAACCTGAATGCACTTTCAATTTTGCTCCGATCGAGAAAACGGTATGTGTCTGCTGGTCAGATCATTCTTTGTACTCTCTCACAAAAGACGGAATTGTCTCCAAATGGAAACTTTTGGAAAAGGGACGAAAACTGAGAGAGTCCGTGTGGAATTTTGCTCTTGACAACTGCCGAAAAATTACCGGTGCTGGCGATGGGGTGAGAGTTAATATTTAACAAAAACTACTTAATTGGTATATTTCTATTTCAGAAGTTTGTAATCAGCACGGTCTCCAATGTCATAAATGTGTCGTGCTGTGATTGTTTAGTGTGAGAATTCTCGATATTCTGTCCAGTGTGCTCATATTTGAAGAAAAAAAACAAATGGTCTTGACAAGACTTTCAGCTTCATTTATATTATTCAATAAATGTAAAAAAAGTAGCAAAATTTTCCGCGAAGGCGACTTATGACCTAAAAATATGAATTAAATAATTGCATGTTTGGATTAAATGTGTATTTTTCGGAGAAGCCACCATAATTTTAACACAACAAGTTGGAAAAGAGACGAAAAAATGTGATGTTTCTAAATTAGCCGACACCTGTAAGGACAGGTTAGGGTACGACTTTAGTTCAACCTGTAAAGTGTGAACCATATGATTTTATCGTCAGTCAAACCTCCTCCTAATCAAACCTGAAATCTTCTTTACCCCGCCCCCCCCAAAGGCGTGTCCGATTTTACCTATAGATTTAAGATATGCGCATTTTTTATTTCTTCGAATAAAACCGCGGGATTTTTAGGGGTTAACATTCCAGCGCGAAAAATCATCTCCCACATTGATTTTAACATTTTTATTGGATTGCGCAGCTGAAGAAAACGCCCAAGATGCGCCTTTGTAGGACGAGAAAACACATTTTACCTCGTGCTTCTTCAGTGGCCCTAAGAATTTCAAAAAAAATGTAACATTTTTTTCATTTTATTGTCATGACAATAAAAAAGCAAAGCTTTTGCTTGGCTCTATAAGACACTTTACCCTATCCCTTGCTATGTGCCCTAATAGCTCAGTGGTAGAGCGCCTGTCTCGTAAACAGGAGGTCCACCGATCAATCCGGTGTTGGGGCAGCTTTTTGCATAACATAATTTAAACCAATATTTTTTGTTTACACGCTATTTACGCAGCATAAAATAAAAACCGTTTCATACTCGGCCCAAAAAAGTGGATTCTGAACTTTCATTTTATGGATTATTATTAAAAGCTTGAAAACAACGCTTGGTCCATACAAATGCATACAAAGAATTAGTGATGCAATTTCCAATGCCAGTCTGTAAAACCGCACAAAAAAATCGGTGGCCATCAACCATTAAAAAAGACCGTTGTGGTACTTCCCTTGTTAGCTTTATTTACTTTTTCGCTTTTGCAACGGTGCTGTTACGAAATAATTTTATGAAATGACTCCATGGAATGTGGTAAGAAAATGTTTTCACGCCAGCATTCTCTCACCATCCAAAACTGTTTAATTTCACTCAAACTGGAAGAGTTCTATTTATTCGTCTTGAGACATGTCATTTTCTATGAACTAAATGCCAGTAAACGCCTGTGTTAAAAATTCATAGAAAATGAGGCTATTGCCCAAATTTGTCATAGGTGCCAGAATTGTGGGACGAGGAATTGAGGACCGCTTAAAGTAATTTTGACACGTCAATTTTCTTTTAGCTTCCATTGTTTTCTCTTATAAAGGACATCCTTGTTATTAAATGTTTCCTTTTTTGTGCTTAGCTGGATGTTTCAATTTATCAGGTACGCGAATTTCTGATCTCGAAACTAAAACCGAACGAGTGTTGTGGTGCCGAAATAATATATTGAATCCAAAACATTAATCCCTAGAATCTTGAATGCCATTAGAACGGTTGTTCTCCTAAAACGTTAGAGAAAAAAAAAGATAGGGAGAAAGCTGCTAAGTGTGATTTTCCCGACTGTAGGGCACAGAAAATTTTCGCATTTTGAGTTATCATTGGAAAACTTAAATATAATCTCGCACCTTGTTCGGCACGGCGCGAACTAAAATATAATCTCGCTATTCTGACATTTGAATCTCGAATTCTATTTTCACCTACTGGAATCTCGAATTTGGAATCTCACATTGAAAAATCCCAATCACGCATATCACTAAAATTTATGCCCTATTTATTTCTTAAACCATTTTAGTAGCAACTTCGTTACGAAATTTATTTGTTACTTCCCTGCTCCAGAACAACTCAAGGAGTTTCTCAACAAGCGAGTTATTAAGTTCATCCCAAGAATAACAATTATAAGTCAACAATGCCGCTCTCAATCGGATCATCGCACTTCATTCATTCACAATAGACTTCCGCCAAATCCAATTCATTTGACTGCAATTAAATTGAATTTAGTACAAAAGTTGCAAATATTGTTGCCGACTGGTACCATTGAAACATTTCAACGCAACAAAGAGAGTCACCTGAGATAATTAGCGTTTTCTTTGAAAATCTTCAGAATTGCTCAAATTGGTTCAATATACAACTAAATTAAAAACTTCTCTCACCTTATCTTTTTCTCCGACTCTCTGCTTTTCATACACTATTTCTCTCTGTTATTAGCTCCTTTCATAATTTACAATTTTTCATCCCAGAATATTAATCGATTTTTGAAAATTTACTGAAAATTTTTATATAACTAGCAACTTTTCGATTCATTTTTTCTTGATGCGTTTTTGGTTTTAAAAATTGTTTTTGAGTCGATAACTTTCATTTTCTCATTGCGTCAACTGTTTACCTTTTAATAATTCAGAGTTTTTAACGTTCCCTTAAGACACGTTCTATGAATGAAAAACCTTTCATTATGGAAAACTTTCGCAACAATTGCGCATTTCTTTGAGACTTCTCATCGCACCTGAAACATAATTTATAGATGAATACCGCCGCTTTTTGCACTTTTCCGAAAGTTCACAAACTCGTAAAAAGAACGAATGCTTTTGATATTTCCGCCTTTTTCCTTTATAAATTTTCATACTATTCTTTGCTTTTTTCAATAAAAGGAAACGCTCTCGACTTTTAATTTATAATAATAGTCGCATAAAATTGAAAGGTGAATGCTTGCGCAATCCCATTAACGGAAAAATGCCCTATAAAGTGCAAAAGAACCCAAAACGGCGCCATTCAATTCTATGGTCTTACTCAATACCCAAAGAGACCTTTAGAAGAAAAGAACACCTGATGAAAAGGTGCCCATTAATGGGCCTTTATTGAGTTGAGCAACACTTTAATGAGAGTACTCTTTTCGGTGTTGCCGTTCTTTTTTGAGAGTTGCTTTTATTGTTTTCCAAACAATAATTAGCTTGCGAGCCGCATCCGAATTGCGCACTTCAACTTTCCATGCGCCCAAACAGCGCATAAATAATGGCTTGAATTGAAAGGCGGCAACTTCGAAGAAAAAGAAAACTTGTGTAAAAGACCGAAATTTTATGAGGTGGAAAGTTGAGAGGGAATTTAATCGTATGTTTTGTTTGAGTTGGCTATCTTTGAAACATGCAAAGAATTGTAACTATTGAGACTTACAGTAGCTTAAAGTATTTTTGGATATATAAGTGAAAACTATTCATTAATGTCAAAAATTTTAACATACATTTTTAAATTTCAAAAAATTTTACATTTTACAATTTACATTTAAAAAATTCCCAAGTGTCAAACTTTAGAAGTCTTGAAATATTTTAGTTATTTGAAGACAAATGATTTGAATTGAAATATGAATACAAAAATTTGAATTGATTTCTTTATTTTACGTCGCTTTAAATTTTTATTCAACCGCTATCACTGATTTTTTTTAATCACAGATCGGAAATGGAAGGTTATATTTATCTTTGTACTATCAATTTTTTAAATAACACTGCTCAAATACTTCCTTGAGTTATCTTACGAGCAATCGATTCCAACTTTTCGATGTTTTAATTTGACTTCGAAACTTGCTGGCGATGCAAATGCAACTTTTGGCAGTAATTTAAAAGCCACAACGACAGAATCCAAAAAGAGAGTCCTCGCTAATTTAAAGCTAAACACGATTCTGCTAAAAACGCAATTCAGCTTTCGCTGCCGCAAATTAAAGTGTCACCGAAGCGTTTGTGTTGCAGCCAACATTGCATGCCAGTTGACGGTTAGTCACAGAGTCAGCGCCTTGCAACAGCGCTACAGACCGAAAAGCCTGCGGCTTTTTCAAACAATTGGTTGGCAATTGTTTGGAGAAAGAACGAGGAAATGAAACCGCGTCTTTATCCACAGATAATTACACTGTGAATTTATTAGGAAGAAACAAGAGCGCCGATGTTTTGCACACAGCTTACAAGGACATTTGATTACGGTCGGCCTTGGGCAGTCTTGAAGACCCTAGGCTGAGAATTTAATGAAGATTTTTAATAAGAGCATAGATTTCGGAATTTTGGGGCAAAAGTAGAGAGAGGGGGTAGAATTATTCTACCGAGCTCTAGGGGGAAATTAGAAAGTTTACGGTATCATGTGTTGAAATCTAATGTCGAACTTTTCCGACCTTTCTCAATTGAATTCAGCACAATACCGCACAGGCTAGTGGTAAGGTCATAACAATAGATCACAACAATGCATAGATCCTAAATCCCCTCGGCGCTTGATTCAATAATCTCTTTTCGCGGTAATTAACTCAAATTGGCCTCCTTTGGAACTTTCCTGCCTACTTTGGCCTTGTCTTGACTTTTGTCTTTACAATTGCGCGCTTCGCAATTTGGAAGGCGCCTTCTTTTTGTAACAAAGTCCGCGCCTGTTGAATGCGCCATGTGGGCCTTAAAGGACATTCCTTCGAACTCGAGGAGTGTATCCCAATTACGATTTTGATGACCTTTTAATCCGTCTACAAAGGGCGAAGTTGGCGCATCCTTTGATCTCCTCATGTCCAGTAATTTAACTCATTCATTCACAGCACTACAGCCTCTGGAGGATGGGAAAAGGCCGAGAAAATTATCCAATTTCTGGCGTTTGTCGCAGCCAAACAGGCCATTGAGAGTTCATCATTTCCTCCTTTGATCTGTTTTTGAGTTAAAAGAGAGGCGATCTATTTTCCTGAAATTCTGTCGTTTAATTGTGGCATGTGCGAAGGACAGAGAGGGCAAAGACGGACGAATAAGAAAGGGTCCATAATTGGGTTTTAATTTATTGACTACTTATCGAAAGATGGCTCATTTTCCGGAGTGATCGTTTTATTGAAACAAATTTCTTTTTGAAAGCTTAGTAGTGGTTTTCATCTTTACCTTGTTTATTTAAGTAAAAATATATAACATCAGCACATCACACATATTTTTTATTACCTGAGCAGTTTGCATACTCAAAAACCTTTTTGAATCGTGATACAAAAATAAGATCGAGTACGAAAGAGAGTAATTAGACTTTTTTTCGTATTTACGAGACAGTCATGTATTCAGATTCAAGTGTTTCATTTTAATCGAGAAAATGTACAATTATAAATATAAACACACAGCACAAGCTCTCTGATTACCTGCAATGAGTTTATTATTGCCTTGCTAAAGTAAACCGATGATCTAAATTCTTTCATGGGATCTTTAGTGATTTATTTTCAAACGATCCCCCTCCGCAAAAATGCTTTACACATTTTTACTCTTTCCCTCAAGGCCAGCTCTGACAAATCTGTCATATAATCCACCTGCATTCCACACGCTCACCTGAATGAGCTCTTGGTATATTGGATTATTCCGGATTACCGGATATGCCAATTTTCACAAAAGCCAATTTTTCATGGATCAGTCCCTTTATTGTGTTCCAATAATGGCCATATTACCATTGGAAAATACAAAAAGAATTAGTCAGATATTATTTGAGCCAGAGATCCGTGGAGCTCATTAACCTTGAGGCAAACGTTCTCAACTACCTTTCGCTTGCAGATCCATAGACTGCCTTTAAAGGACTCCCAAAGGCTTCCCACGCCCATTTTTTCATTTTTGTGCAGAACAATCATCTGCTAAATGGATTTTTTGGGCATGTGGGAATATTATTGAGCGTCATTATTATTGCTATACAGGAAAGATTATAGGATTGCGCTTTTCCGGAAGAGGTCCGAAGTTGGC